CATTCCTTATGTACATTCTTGCATATGCATAAATAAAAATAAAAAATAAAAAATAAGGTGAAAGAGTGTCCGGGCATATGACTTGTTACGTGTACTTATTTGCGATTCGTTTGGGCTGTCACGTGTGGTGATTAGTGTTGGGTAAGGCTAGGCCAGGTCAGGTCAGACTAGGCCAGGTCAGGTCAGACTAGGATAGGTAAGGCTAGGCCAGGTCAGGTCTGGTCAGGTCTGGCTAGGCCAGGTCAGGCCAGTCCAGGCTAGGCAGGGTGAGAGAAGTAAAGCGGCAGGTACTTACGTTTCCGAGAAAGTAGCGGCGGTAGTATATTGTTGATTTAGATTCGACGACATCCTGAAGCTAGTAGGTGGCGGCCTCATCGCTCTCGAACTTCTTGTTGTTGTAGGGGATACGAGGCACACCCAATATCCCCCTTACATTGATCATATCGCACACTAATATTTTTACTATTTCGGACACCAGATTTGTCTGTTTCGTATATGTATAATTGTTCAATATTAATTAAAACCACAATAGAATGCTCTAAGTACTTTCGTATATTAATACATCTTCAGAAGGAATGGTTCGCTCTGAAGATGTATTAATATAAGAAAGTACTAAAGGAAATTCCTGTTTCAATTCTTCCTCCGTGGTCTGACACTCTTATTATATATTGTATATACTGAATTATATATACTATGCTTATATAATATATACTGAAATATTGTTACATTTAACGTATGAAACAAAGTATATATCTGTATTTTTAATAAAATATAAAACATTAATATTTATCAACGTATCTCTGTGAATTACATAATTTATCAGTATTGTACAGCCTGTGATCTCCACCTGGCTGGCCACTGATACCTAAGTAGCTTTCATGTGTCCGGACACCAGCGATAGGATTGTATTATTTAACTTTAAAGAGAGAGATATTTCTTGAAATATTGTCACATTAACGTCTACATCTTCCTTCCTTCTGACATATAGATTTTAAGGTTAATTAGCATATATGGAAATAAATTACACAATTTATAGGCTGGTGTGAAGGGCTTCACACTCTTAGAGCAAGCCATCAAGAAACTGTACAGTATCAAATGCATATATCTTCGCTTTCACTTCAGTTATATTTATGACAAGTATTTAAAGTGTAGCTTATATTTCTGCCTTTCTGTTGACATAGAAAACTTTCGTTTATTACATTATCTAGATAAAATTAGCATTGATCTTCAAAAGGTTGTAGTTGTAACATCCATTATAAACAACATTATTATTGCAAACAGTAGGAGTTTCAAAGTCTCATTTGTATGGATACCTTCTCATATAGGTGTTGTCCAGCATGATGACACAAACAAGGCAGCTAAAACTGAATGTGATAAGCCTGAAGTTGAGTGGGATATGGGCATTCCAATCTCTTCTGTCAAAGCCGCAATATTTTAGGAAATTAGGGAAGACAGAAGAGCAGTCACTGACACAAAAGCCAGAAAGCAAGAGTATAAAGAGCTATGACATGTTTATGTGCCTCTGTAACCTTTTCCACTACCGCCCACAAGATGATATATGGGGTGCATAATTAATGAACTAAACTAAGTAAACATGTTTAGAATCGAGAATTATATGAACGGACAGCATAAAACTTCCACTAGTGTCACAATGACAGTGTGACATTGTAATTGCCAGAATTAGGCTAGGATATCGATATGTATCGCAGGTGGCTGCAGGTAATGAATAGCCCCCAATGGTGAATATTCCAATTGTAAACTATGTGAACAAGAGCTGGGACATACTCACCAACACTATATCTGTGATTGCCCTGTTATAAGTGACTTCAGACCAAATGGTATAAGGTACTTTGAACTCTGTAATTACTTCATACACTTAGGAATATTGGAAGATATTCTTATGCTGTACCCGGATTTTGCTAACGGAGGCTAATAGATCAGCCTTATATTTTATGTTCTCACCTGATTGTTACCTTGAGGTAGGCCCGTAAGTGGTAGTACTCTTGAACCATTAACAGTATCAATAATAATAATATAATAATAATTTTTATTTAGGTAAGGTACATGCATACAATAAATTTTTACAAAGATTGGTTGACTTATAGGTAGAGCTAGTACAAACAATGCCTAAAGCCACTATTACGCAAAGCGTTTCGGGCATGATAAACTTAAATGACAAGCTTAATACTAATTGAGCATAATGAGTAGAATGAAAACAAGAAATGAAAACATAGATGAAAAAGCAGCACAAATACAATTATGTTGACAAACAGCGCTCTTTAAAGAAAAACAGACATTGGTTGACAATAGAAGGGTAAGGTAGGTTACAGGGAATTTATTAGGTATAGCTTCGTTTTTAACTTAAACTGGTTGAGAGAGGTACAGTCTTTAACATGGTTGGGAAGGTCATTCCACATTCTGGGCCCCTTGATTTGTAGAGCATTTCTAGTTTGATTAAGTCGTACTCTAGGAATATCAAAACTGTATTTATTTCTGGTGTGGTGCTCATGGGTTCTGTTACAACCTTCTATGAAGCTTTTGAGATCAGGATTGGCATTATAGTTTAGCGTTTTATATATGTATAATACACATGAGAGAATGTGCAGTGACTTAATGTCTAACATATTCAGAGATTTGAGTAGGGGTACCGAGTAATGTCTGGGGCCAGAATTGGATATTGTCCTAATAGCAGCTTTGTGTTGAGTAATTAGAGGACGTAAGTGATTTTGGGTAGTAGAGCCCCAAGCACAAATACCATAGTTGAGATATGGATAGATAAGGGAGTAATAGAGAGTCACCAGGGCAGGGCGTGGTACATAATATCTGATCTTAGAAAGAATGCCCACAGTTTTTTAAACTTTTTTTGATATGTTTAGTATGTGTCCCTGGAAATTCAGCTTGTGGTCAATGAGAATGCCAAGGAATTTGCCATCTAATTTGTTACAAATTTGGGTATTGTTTATTTTGAGATTTATTTGATTAGAGGATTTATTGCCAAACAGAATATAGAAAGTTTTGTCAATAGATGATACTGGAGATCTGTGGAGGTGCGACTGGACCCTGCGTGACGGGAGATGTATCCCTTGTTTCTTGTGATTGATTGATGAGGATTAAGCCACCCAAAAGGTAGCACGGGCATGAATAGCCCGTTAGTGGTGTTCTTGTTAGTCACAGTTGATTTTTTTTTTATTGAGGCTGGTATTTTATCCCCTGATTCCATGTATAACTAACCATCCTGTGAGATGGGAATATTTAATGAACTTATAGCTAGTTTTTGATATACACTGTGTAATCTTTCATATAGAATAGGGTAGCAGCACATTACTGTGTATACCTAAGCTTGTTAATAATAACAAAAAAAAAGTTAGTTTCTATCGATAGGGAGAGCGATGGTTCAAAAATCCTTCTTTAAAATATGAATATCTTTCCTATCTCACTAAGATCTAATCTCTGTGATTAAAATGCAAAATTGACTTTGTCACTGCCTTTTTGATAACGTATACAATCATAAGCTTATTTGTGAATCTCTATTAAACAGTAAATCAGAGAGCGTGTAAGGTTCCGTGTTCCATGTCCGAAGAAACAGGGAGATTTTATATAAATACAGTACATGATAGTTTAAGTAGCGAACGCATACCAACAAATAACGATTAGTATCTATAACAAAAATATTGTTCTATGGAGTTGATTTAACTTCCAACCATGTATTTTTAAATAATCTTTAACGTTTTCTGGCTAGTTATGTTAGATTTGATTAAAAATATGCATTCTACTTGTTAACATCATAAATTAAATTTGCGATAATTTGAGCAGAGAAGTTCAACATCCACATTATAGTGAGTAAATATACCATATTACTTCATTGCGTACGTAATGCTAGGAAGGTTTGAGTAGTTTTCGGTCTTTAGTGGACAGAATCTCCAATAGATGGGGCAAGAGTCGCCCCATCTCTCTCGACGGGGCGGGACTCGAAACTTAAATTAAAATTGCTATATCATTGGTCTCCAACATGATATATTTCCTTTGATGCACTCACAATAACGATTATAGCTATGTCTTTCTGGAGGCATGTAATATTTTAGGCTTTATTAGCGTATCTTTGTTAATTACACAACATATTGGCAAGTGCGTAGGCGTCTGCACTCCATGACCGAAAAGCTACTGAACGCCACTATAAAACATATATATCTTCACTTGAGCTTTAAATATGTCTAATGTAATGTATTTAAAATAAAGCTTATATTTCTATCTTTCTTAAGATGTGTAAAACATTTGTGTTTATTAACGAATTTACGTAAAATAAACATTCTTCTGAGAGAGTTGCTCTGTCGCTCAGTCTATGCGGGGGTCGGAGCTCGGCGATTATTAAAATACATGAATCTTCATTAGAACTTTAATTATGTCTATGATAAAGTGTTTAAAATGAGCCTTATATTCCTATCTTTTTTGAGGCATATAAAAAATTTACGATTATTTACAAATTTACGTGAAATAAGCATTGTTCTGAGAGAGAGTTGCTCCGTCGATCGATCTGTCCGGAGTCGGAGCTCGGCTATTATAAAAGTACACGTATCTTCGCTTTAAATTTAAATATGCCCATGGTAAGGTATTTAGAACGAAGCTTATATATCTGTCTTTCTTGTGACATATAAAACTCTTACGTTTATGAAGGAATCTGCGTGAAATAGGCATGGTTCTAGCAGTCTCCGTGGTGTAGTGGTAAGACACTCGCCTGGCGTTCCGCGAGCGCTATGTCGTGGGTTCGTATCCTGGCCGGGGAGGATTTACTGGGCGCAATTCCTTAACTGTAGCCTCTGTTTATACAACAGTAAAATGTGTACTTGGATGAAAAAACGATTCTTCGCGGCAGGGGATCGTATTCCAGGGACCATAGGATTAAGGACTTGCCCATACAAGAATGTAACAACTATAGATCGCGCTTCTGTCTTTCTTCTGACTAATAAATAATTTTGGTTTAATCAGTTATCAAGATGTTTTCAACAATATTCTTTCAGTGTTCGTCTTTTCCAACTTGGGCGACCCTTTTGGAAGCGCGATACTTGGGTTAACCCATCCTATAGTTGGATCTGTTTCCAACTGGGGTTCGAATACAAACACCGGCCCCACACTGGCGGGACGCTGCCGTCTAATACCCAACATATGAGGGGCAGGAGGTCACTCACTACATATAAGATATAAAGAAGTGAAAGCATTGGCTGATTATTACGGGCTCACCATAGGCCGTGCTACACGTTCTGAGTAGCTAACTCTGAAACATCAACAAACATTGGCTGATTATCTCCAGTCAACCAAAGGAGGAGGTTAGCTGGGCAAGGTGTCGATCCTCAGGTAATCGTCACCACTAAATCAACAATAATAACTTTACTGTCAATCTGAATTGATTATTAATAATTGAATTATTATCAGTGTTAACAATGCAATAGCGATAACTGTTATTATTGTTACTATTATTCACCTGGCGCAATTTATCATTGATTATTAGACTAATCTTTAGGCTGATTGTCTTGTGAAGCTCATTGTTCACGGAGGACCAGAGGAGAAACACTTGTACCAAGTGTTTAGGTGAAGAGACGTACAATGGGTCTGGCAGTGTCACCATTCATGGAGTATTTCATCATCATCTCAGCTGGTAAGTTAATTAATAGTAATTCATTAGGTTGGGGGACAGGCAGCCAGAGTGTTTCATTCACGTTAGGCTTATATCAAGGTCCCCTCCTTCCCCAAGGCAGAATTACTGACCCAGCCCAGGATGCAACGCCACAACAAGCTGACTAACTCCTGAGTACCTACTTAATGTTAGGTGAACTGTGGCATTAGATGAAAGGAAACACACCCAACTATTTTAAATATAAATTAAATTAAATTTTTTATTCAGGAAAGTACGTACATAGTTGATTTACAAACATAATGTTGAATTTATATATAGAGCTAGTACATACAATACCTAAAGCCACTAATACGCATAGTTTTTTGGGCAAGGTGTGGGGAGGGGGGGGGGGGGGGAACACTTAGACTAAAATTTAATAGTAATTGGGATTAAGGTATAAATTGTGTTGAAAAAGGAATAAAAAATAAAAACGGGGTAACATGTCAGAAATCAGCAATTGTACAAGTTGGTGAACAAACAGCATTGTTTAAAAATAGCAAGACAAGGGTTGACATTTAGGGGGTAAAGCAGGTTACATGGAGTTAATTAGGTAGTACTTGGTTTTACTCTTAAATTGGTTGAGAGAGGTACAGCCTTTGACATGACTGCTATTGATAATATTTCTGTCCCGCCTGGGATTCAAACCCGGAATTCTCGATTGTGTGTTGTTTGTAGAAGTTGTTAGGTCTCGATAGAACCTAATTGTACTACCAGGACCCTCTATTACTAATTGACATTTAATTTGACAAAGTGATGTGGGTGATAATTTTTGCACAATAGCCAAAAGCTATTCACAACTGTCATCACTAAACAAACTCTGCTCAGCCCATCCAAACCCAACCCATCTAAAATAATCCCATCACTATTGAATGCATCCTAACCTAACCGAATCTAATAGATGATAATGTTCTGTACATAATGCATGTGAAGTGTGTTACAGTGATCAAAATTTAATTTTGAAAATTTTTTAATGCTTTTGGTGAAATAGGCCTGCCAAACTTAGCCTTGGCCTGTGCATTTCAGTTGACAGTACAGAAACATTTATCGATTTTCATAGATCAATAGATATATACCAAGTTAATTAAATACATGACTATGCAACATTTTAATTCTTATGCTTATGTAGTAATGTACAACTGGTATGCATGTTCAGAAAGGGTCAGATGTCATTCAACATCATCACTACTCATTAAACAAAATTATCTTGATTTTTTTTGAGATATATACAAGAGTTGTTACATTCTTGTACAGCCACTAGTACGCGTAGCGTTTCGGGCAAGTCCTTAATCCTATGGTCCCTGGAATACGATCCCCTGCCGCGAAGAATCGTTTTTTCATCCAAGTACACATTTTACTGTTGCATTAAACAGAGGCTACAGTTAAGGAATTGCGCCCAGTAAATCCTCCCCGGCCAGGATACGAACCCATAACATAGCGCTCGCGGAACGCCAGGCGAGTGTCTTACCACTACACCACGGAGACTGCTAACCTATTAATTTAACCTATTCAATCCTATCCTATCCAAACCTAATCTTAATGACAATATAAGAAATTTTTGTTCGTTATCTGTATTCTCTGAGAGGTGTGTAACATCAGTGTAACATCATCAGCTTGCTTCTATGACCTTGAATATTACTGAGTAAATGAGTGATCTTTCTTGGGACTAATTTGAGAATTGTATGAATAATGAATCAGAAACTCAGGAGACTTATAACATTTCAGGCAGGTCCTTAATCTAACATATTTGGAAATCTGGCAACCAACCCACAAAGTTGCTTCGGGGGTTGTCCCTTCCTATTCAGGTTCGGAGGTGGTTGAGCCCATTTTTCCTGCCAAGGCTTCCGGTTTATCCCAGCCGCCTTCCTTCTCATAAGCTTTTCCCATGGACTCTGCTTTGTCTTCTGGGGTGGTGGGCATGGAAGAGGGCTCAGCCCTGGAGCCGCTGTTGGGGGTCCAGGCTAGGGGGAAGGGAGTCTGCTTGGAGTGCTTCTTATCTTGAGGTTATCTTGAGATGATTTTGGGGCTTTAGTGTCCCCGCGGCCTGGTCCTCGACCAGGCCTCCACCCCCAGGAAGCAGCCCGGATTAAAGGCATAATTATATATTTATCATCTTCATTACAAATGTCCAGAGCCATTAGTCAGCGTCTTGCAGGTTGTCGATTATTAATTCTCTTACCTTTAGGTGTATTTTCACCAGCAAAGCAACGCTTTCACATATTTTATTTTTTCTCTCTCGTCTCTAAATTGAGTAGCCCCTTGGGAATATGACATTTAAAATATTATCCTCAAGTTTTATCTCTGTTAGTGGGACAATTTCTGAGCTGTATTATATCGTTTAGCTCCAGTGTTTATGCTTATATGTTAAAATGTATTCTTTTTGTAAATTTTAACATGCTATGGTATTTTAGTACATGGGGAGTATATTGCTGTCAACTGGACTGAAGTAGGATCTAGAGGGTCAACCACTGAGTCTCATTTGGAAGACCCAGCAGTGAAGCCCCTTGCTCCTTGCCCATGTGACCTGACTTCAAACTTCTGTGATCCTCATTGTTGCTGTGATAAGGTAAGTAACATGTTGTGTATGTTATTATGTGTAGTATGATTTAATATTGTGAGATTGCTGTACTGTACTTAAAATAAGATTAGTTTTTTATCTCTTTTTCTGGGCTGTGGGGGAAGTCAGCCTGGGGCACTTAAGCCCCGTTCGATCCTGTCTGGGCCTTGGTCCCCTCTGTGTGGGGTTTGCTGTTGCATGGTTCGGGATTTTTGTATCGCCCTTCCCTGTACGAATTTGATATGGGTTCGGCACCTCCCAGGGTTTGTTTCCGGGTTCCTTTGGGTTCAGCGGTTTCGTCCTTCCAGAGGTTTTCCACCTCTCAGATTTTCCCTGCGGAGGTTTGGAAGGCCCTTGGGGCATACCTCCTGTGAGATCTGGCCTTTGTCTCTGTGATGGATCTGGTCTCTTTTGAGTTTGGTTCCTCTTCTCCATATTGGGTGCATTATGAGGTTCCTGCATCTTCCTGGCTTGCAGACTACCTTTTCATTTTGCTTGGGGTATGGCACGGGTTCTGTTGTACCTGCACACTGGATTGGCTGAGCTTACTATGGTATTCCAGGTTTACCCAGGGGGGGGGGGGGCACTTTTGAGCACCTCAATGTGTGCCTCTATGCCCCTGTGCTTCCTCGTGTTTTTGGCTTGCTCTAATTGCACACCCAGGTCCCTTCCCTTTAGGTTGCATTAGTTGCGCAGGATCTTTATGCTCGCCTTGATCTGGCAATCTGTGATCTGGCCTTGGTCCTGTGCTTCTTTCCCTTTCTGGAGCTGTCCTTGGACTGACTTGTGGAGGATATGGAGGCATTGAGTGCCGGGCTGTCGTCTGGGGCGTTGGCCTTGGCAGCGTTGCTGACACTGTATGCACCTATCTTTAGAGAGGCAGCGTCTCTGTTTTTTGCCTCTCGCCTCGCGTGTTGGCAGGCCATCCTTGCTCTCTCTCTCTCTTGATTCTGCTTGAAACCTGGCTCTTAAGTTGTAGTCTGCTTTCTGTCTGCTGTTGTTCTTGGACACAGTTGTTTCTTAGTTTTTGCAGGCGTCTTCTGCTAGTTGCCGTCCTCTTTCTGATTTGTTGGTGATCCGGGGTGGGCATTCTCGTGCTTCAAGGAAAAGTTGTGTCAGCGCTCGGCTTCTGCAGGTTGAGGTGGGCCCTTGGTGCCAGCTTCTGTGCTGGTGCCTTCTCCGGAGTCGTCTTCGACTGGTCGTGGTGGTGGTCGCTCTGCACATATATTAGCTTCTCAGAAGAGGCGCCGGCCCTTTCAGGGGTCGCCCCATTGATGGGGGAAAGGAGGGAGGCTGGTTCTGTTCACCCACACTTGGTCCCACGATTTGTGGGCATTTGGGATCGTGCCCTCAGGCCTGTGGTGGCGATGGGCAGCTCCTCTCCCTCTTGGAGGATTGGGGCTGGCTGAGCAGGCTTCTTCCCCTTCTCCCCGTCGGCTCATCTTGGTGTGGGTTTGCTTGGGCGTGGTCGAAACAACTTTGGTCCCTCAAGTGGGTTTCTTGCTTGTTTCCAGTGCCGAAACGGGACTGTGCGGATCTTCGGTTCATTCTGGGCTTGCCCCGTCCGAATCATTGGATTACTTGCCTCTTTTTTTTGGATGACCACTCTGTCTCAGGTCCAGCTTCTCTTGGAGTTGGGTTCTTGGATGGTGTCTCTAGATCTCTGGGATGCATATTGGCATGCCTCCATTCATCCGGGTTTCAGGGACTGGTTGGGTTCTGTGGTGGGGGTGGCAAGCTTACCACTTTCATTGTCCCTCCCTTTGAACTGAATCTGGCACCTCGCGTTTTCATGCATCTTACACTGCTAGGTGTTCTGGTTTTGGCCTACCTCGATGACTGGTTGGTGTAAACTCCCAGGCCATTAATGGGTAATGATAATGATTATGGGTTAATGATGATGATTATGATAAAATAGAGTATCATCCTGAATGTTATTTGGAATATGATGACACTAGCCAGACCATTTCAGTTTTGAAGTTATTAAAATATCAGGTAGTCTAGGTATCAACTAAATATCAGGAAAATATCTAGTTTATAAAATGTGTTCCTTTTGTGATGCAGATAACAAGGATTTTTTTTTTTATCTTTCCAGGACTGCTCTTTGCGTGACAAAAAATCTTTCACGTGTTTGGAAGGCTTGAATGGTGGTCATTCAACGGATAAGATTTTAGATAATAACTGTAAATACCAAGGACCTTATTCACCTGAGTGGCATGACTTCTTATGCTTTGTGACTGAGAATAATCCTTACCTTGGGCTTTTTTACAAGCCTGAACCTTCAATTCAGGATTTTCAAAAATATCTATCACGAGTTAAGAGTGATGCGTATAGCTACAGACACACTACTGCTCACCCTCAAGATCAAGAACGTTTCCCATATTATGTATTGGGTTCAAGTGTGGAAACTGCAATCCTAACAAATTTTACTATATTTAAAAACATTCTGTCATTGCCACAGCAAATATTGAATGGGTTGTGTGTTAAAACAATTCCTATTCATTTCTTAGAAGATTTTGCACATGTGTGTTCCTTGGCTGTATCTCCTGAGGTATGCAAAACAGAGCCTCTTTTAAGTGCAGCTACATTCCTTCATAAAGCTGATGGAATTATCCGAGATCCTTATGTAGGTCATCTACATGTTATTGGTAACCTTGCTGCCCTTCAGATGGCTGATGTCTTCGTTGAGTATGAATGCCTGTGGGACACTAACAATTTCATTAAAGTACAGGGCTTGAATAAGTTTGTAAATAAAGGTTCGTCTCAGTTTTGGACAGAACGCTATAATTCAGAAACATGCAGTGGAAATAATGTCCCATTTTATAATGAAACTTCTCAAATGTGTGAAAATGTAGTACTTAGTGTGGAATACAATATAGGGTGGAGAGGACCATCCATTGTTGAAGTTCATGCTAAAGTTACATTAGGGGATGTGGCTGTTACATTTGAAAGACTTCTTGGAAAATATTCGAGTGAAATTGATAGGGAGTCATTCCTTTACAAAAACACAGTGAGTAAACTTGAAAGTGCACTTTCAAAAAGAAGAAAGTTTATCACTCCATCAAGAAGTCTTAAACTCTCTCTACTTCAACACTTTTCAGCAAGTTTTTATCATATGGGGTCTTCAAGCACTTCAAATGAAACAACCGAACTCTTCCGTAAATTAGATAGTAATAAAATAAATATTACGGATGATTTTGAATACGAGTCAAGAATTTCTGAGAGGTCTGGCAATCCTGGATATGAAGTTGGCAAGCCTGTCATAGGAGGTTATGCTATGTAAGTTTTCATTGATTATTATTATTGTTTCATTTATTCTTAGAACCAGTTAAAAATGTGTTTATCAAAACTTTCTAGCTTTTCTAGGAGGGGTTTCTTCTCTATCTCAGTGAGCTTCCCACTGGAGTCCTCCTAAACCAGCTACTACATCAGGCTCTATTGATTCATGAGTATCTTCTGGAGAATAGTGCCATTATCTGGCACCCTCAGAGGCAAGAGGTACTGTTGGTACTATGCCACCACAGTTACAATGGATAAAAGTGCCATAAAAGTAGAACACAACAAAATGAGGAACTACTTGGACAACATTGACAACCTTGATTGAAACTATGTATTTACTCATTGTCCAGGTCCAACTACTACTTAGCTCTACACCCTTGCCTCAAGATGGAAGCCCCAGCAACCTAGGAGCCCACGGCAGTTAGCCCAGTCATTTGTGCACCTGGTTTGCTGTATGGCGCAGCTCCTCATCCTAGCAGCTCTGCGGGCATTATCCTTTTCAGTTAGGAGTTGGCCATTCCTTGGGACCCTGTCCTGTGTGGGAAGCCTGTGCTTGTGTTTCGTTTTTTTACTTCACCAGTGTACTTTTTATGCTGACCTGTTGCATGTGCTTATATTGCTTGTTAGCATTGGCTGCTGAAGTTGTGGCTAGAGTTGCTGTCTCTGGTTACTGCTGGGATTGCCTCTGCCTTCTGTTATGGTTGTCTTTCCTTGAGAAGGTTCGGGAATGGGGCAGTAACCAATGGGGTTACTGCTTCTTGTGGGGGGCCTTGTGCCGAGTACTACATGTGCTTTGGCTTCTCTGTGGGGTCTTGCAGTTGGGGCAGGTTGTAGTTAGGTTGTTTTGGGTAGTCACTGTGTGTGTGTGTTGTCATTCTGGTTTCGGTAGTGGCATACACCTTCTTTCACCAAGTTCTCCCAGAATGTAGATTGGCATGGGGTTGCATGTCACTCACTCCTCAGTATCTTTCCTGCAGGTTTCTTCCATTGTGAGGGCCAGGGATCCCCCACAGTTTTTGTTTTGGGAGACATTGTCCCCCTCCCCACTCAGCTCGTTGTCGCCGTGTGGGGGCTTAGTGGGCGGCTGCCGGAGTGTGATGCTCCTTGGGACAGTCCTCTGTCCTTTTCTAGCCTTGTGCTCCTGCTGCCGTCCTCTCCAATTCTGCTGGGCATCTTTTCCTTTTCCTTCTGTTTCGTTTTTCTCCCCCCTCTTCTCCTATCTGCTTGCCGTTTCCTGCTGACCTTTTGCTCGCTCTGGTTCTTCCCTTGGACTTCTTCTATTTTGACGCCCGGGTGCTTGAGGAGGCATACTCTTGCACCCGTAGAACTGTAGTACCCGACGTCGAGAGCGAGGGGAACCTTTTATTGTCAATCCCCCTTTCGTCACTGAACCCGATCTCGACGGACTGTCGGTTTCTTAAGGTGGCGTTTGTGGGGCGTATACTCACGACGCACCCCTAGGAGGCCCCGACAAGATCGGCGATAGCTTCTTGTTGGGTGTCCTGCCTCTAATTGTGGCTCCATGGTGGGTGTGGGGGCACATTCGTGGATGAATTCTTCTTTTCGTCAAGAGGATAACCCCTGTTTCGGCTGCTTCTGGTTTACCTTCTCAGGCTCGTGGGGTGGGCGACCAAGCCCCCGAGTCGGTCCGTATTGGAAGACCGGGCTCTGTAGCCTCCGCTGCATTGGGCCCCGACCTTGCTCCTCCTTTGGCCTCTCTGACTCCTTCCCCTGGCTCCCCTCCCTCCTTCCCCTGGCTCCCCTCCCTCCTCTGTGGTTGGGTCGAGCCCCAAGCCCCCAGTGGTGACTACCTCGTCCCCTGGCGCGGCTCCTTCTCTAGTTGTAACTGCTGCGCCTTTTAACCCCTCTCTCTCTGGGGGTTCTCACCGCCGTCCTCGTCACGGCCGCCCTCGCTCGATTCCTTCCAGTTCTGCTACCTATCAAGCCTTGTTTGGTCCCGCTTCGTGGGCCAAATATTTTGATCTCCTCCCTCTTGATTCTGCGCCTCCTGACGATTTCTCCCTCCATCGACATCTCATTGATTCCGTGGATGCCTCCATTACTTTCAACCCCACTCGTCTCGGTACACGTGTCGTTGCTGCTCCTTCTCAGGATGCTGCTTCCCGCTTGGCTGCCTTATCCTGCCTTGGCGAGACCCCCGTTCGGGTCTCGAAGAACGCTCAGTTGAATGCCAGTGTTGGCACTATTTTGCTCCCGCCCCATGTTGCGACCGGTGTTCGGGACCTGCGCGACTGCCACGACGATATTCGACATATCCTCGCTGCCCAGGGCCATTCTATTCTCCAGGTGGACACGTTTACTCGTCCCCCTCGTGGTAGTCGCCGTCAACCCCTCCGGGTTGTGAAGATTACCTTTGATGGTAGGACCCTTCCACCCTCTGTCATTCTTGCTGGTGCCAGGTGCTCTGTCCAGGAGTACATTCCTTCTCCTCGGCTCTGCAACAAGTGCTGGAGGTTTGGGCATGGTGCCCTCCGCTGCTCCGGGACTGTCTCTCTCTGTCCTTTGTGTGGTGGCGAAGGTCACTCTAAGTCGGAGTGCACTTCTCCCCAGGCTCGTTGCCTCAACTGCGGTGAGGCCCATCCTACCTTCTCCCGTGCGTGTGTCCATTACAAGCTTGAGGCAGCCGTCCTCAACTTGAAGCACCGGGAGCGTTTATCTTTTCCTGAGGCGAGGCGCCAGGTTCGCCGGCTCCCGCCTTATGCTAATATCTCTTATGCTCGCGTGTTGCGCTCTTCCTCTCCTCGTCCTTCCCGCCTTCCTCAGACTCACAACCGTTTCCGGGCCTTGGACCCTGATGCGCCCACTGCCCCCTCCTCTGTTCCTTTGGGTTCTCTCCCGAAGGATCCTCCTCCTGGTCCTCTGTCTGGGGTTCCCCTTCCTTCTACCCGGTCTGTCGTGTCTTCTGTGTCTTCTTCCTCGTCCCCCTCCGATCCTCCTTCCCATCCTCTTCCTCCATCTATCGGCTCTCCCCACCGCCTGTCGGTGCGGGCGGATGTCCATCGCTCTCCTAACGGCCGTCGTGTGTGCTCTCGTTCGGCTTCTCCTGTTGAGACACTGGAATCCGTTGCCCGGTACGTAGTTGCTGGGACACCGGTCTCTTTAAGTCAGAAGCGTAAGCCTGGCTCCTCTCCTTCCTCTTCCCCGGCGGGTAAGAAGGCTTCGCTTTCTTCCTCAGCTCCTCCTCCTGGCTCTGTTGCTCCTTCCCCTCCCGTTTCAGTGCTTGCGCCCCCTGTTCCTGCTATGGAGGTTTCTTTGGCCCCTGCTTCCCTTTCGGTTGCTGCTCTTGCTGGGGTGCGCTCCCCTCTTTCTACTCCCCCTCTTCCTGCTGCTGTCCTTGACTGCTCCTCTCCGTTGTCTCCTCCTCTTCCTCCTCCTCCTCCTCCTCCTCCGGACCCTGCCCGCCCACCTCTGATCTGTTCTCCCGTTTCCTTCCCTCCGTCTTTGCTCAGTTTACCCATGCCCCCTAACCCTGACTTTGCTGACCCTGATCCCGACCCTGATATTCTTTAACGTGCTCTGTTGCTCTTTCGCCTTTGTTTCTTCCTTGTTCTCTGTTTTTGTCCTTTTTTTTCTCGTCGTTGTCCATTCTTCAATGGAACGTTCAAGGTTATTACGCCAATTTCCTCGAACTCCAACTTCTGATTTCGCGGTTTTCGCCCCTTTGTGTCTGTCTCCAGGAGCCAATGCTTGGTGCTCGTCCTGGTCGTTTTCGTGGCTATTCCTTTCTCTCCCCCGCCACAGCCATTGCTGGGGCTTCTAATTCTTCTGCTCTCTTGATTCGGGCTGATGTTCCCTTTGTTCCTTTACTTTTTCCTTCGCCTCTCCATTGTTCTGCTGCTCGTATCTTTGTGGGGAAATGGTACACAGTTTGTTCCATTTATCTCCCCCCGAGTGTCCCGCTCTCTCTTCCTGATTTGAAACACCTCCTAGACTCCTTGCCGGAGCCTGTGCTCCTGCTGGGTGACTTCAATTGTCGTCATTCTCTTTGGGGTGACGTTCTGACGAATATCCGGGGTCGCCTCCTTGAGCCGTTTCTCCTCTCTTCTTCCCTGTCTCTTCTGAATTCTGGTGAGCCCACTCATTTGGACTCTCGGACTCGCACCCTTTCTTGTCTTGATCTTTCTCTCTGCTCTTCTTCTCTTTACTTAGATTTCACGTGGCAGGTTCTTGATGACCTCCATGGAAGTGATCATTTCCCCATCCTTGTTTCCTTTTTCTCTTTTCGCCCTTCCCTCTCTTTCCCTAGGTGGCAGTTTGCTAAGGCAGACTGGACCCTATTTACCCTCAGTGCTGCTCTCTCTGACCTCTCCCTTCTGCCTCTCTCTCGTGCTCTCCTCCTTTTTCATGACACTGTCTTCAACGCTGCCCTCCGCTCTATTCCTCGCTCTTCCTCTCGGGGTCCACGGAAGTGCGTTCCCTGGTGGAATGCGGACTGTGCTCGGGCTGTCCGCTGTAAGCGTGCAGCCTGGAAGAGGCACCGCCGTAGGCAGACGACCGATTCTTTTCTTTTCTTTCGGAAAGCGAGTGCGGTGGCCCGTAGGGCCATCCGTACAGCTAAACGTGAATGTTGGGCATCTTATGTCTCAACAATTACGTCCGAAACCCCTCTGGCCCAGATCTGGAAGCGTATCCGCAAGATAGCGGGTAAGTTCGTTCCCGATGTTTCACCGGTCCTTCACCTCCATGATACTCTTGTGGTGGACCCGTTGCAGGTCGCTTCCGAACTGGGTTCCCACTTTTCTTCTGTTAGCTCTGGTCTTCATCTTCCCCAATCTTTCCTTCTTCGTAAACCTGTCCTTGAGTCTCGTCCTTTAGATTTCTGCACTCATCTTCAGCTTCCCTATAATGATCCCTTCTCTCTCTCTGAACTTCGTTCTGCCCTGGCCCTCTGCGGTTCTACGGCGGCGGGCTTCGATGGTATTCATTATGAGATGCTTCGCCATCTCCCTCCGAGCACGTCTCAGTATTTACTGAGTCTGTATAATCGGATCTGGGAGTCGTCGTCAGTCCCTGAGGACTGGCTCGATGCCGTTGTCCTCCCTGTTCGCAAACCGGGGTCTCTGGGTACTTCCCCTAAGGACTTTCGCCCTATTGCTCTCACAAGTTGTGTCTGCAAACTCTTTGAACGTATGGTTAACGTTCGTCTGATGTGGTTCCTGGAACACCATCACCTCCTCTCCCCTTCTCAATTTGGTTTCCGCAAGTGCCGCAGCACGACAGATGTCCTGGTGAACTTGGAGGTCTATATTCGTACTGCTTTTGCTGCGAAGACCTCCGTTGTTGCCGTCCTTTTTGACCTAGAAAAGGCTTACGACACCACTTGGCGTTATCATATCCTATCTCAACTTCATTCTTTTGGCCTTCGTGGTCATCTCCCTCTCTTTCTCCACAGCTTCCTCTCTCGTCGTTCCTTTCGGGTGCGCCTTGGTACCGCTCTCTCTCTCCCTCTTTTCAGCAATACGAAGGTGTGCCCCAGGGTAGTGTTCTGAGCACTACTCTTTTTCTGGTTGCCCTCAATGGTCTTCTTTCCTCTCTTCCTTCTGGTGTCTTCTCCGCTCTCTATGTCGATGATCTTACCCTTTGTTGTCAGGGTGATGATTCGCCTCTCCTTCAACGCCGGCTTCAACTTGCAATTGATGCCGTGTCGTCTTGGGCCACAGGTCATGGCTTCAAGTTCTCTACTTCTAAGACTTGTGCCATGACTTTTACGCGGAAACGGGTTGTCCTTCGTCCCTCTTTGTCACTTTATGGTCATCCCCTTGAATACAAAGATTCCGCGAAGCTTTTGGGGTTATTCCTTGACACTCGTTTGTCTTGGTCTCCCCATATCTCTTACCTCCGTGTTGAGTGCTCTAAGGCCCTTACCCTCCTTCGGGTCTTGTCCCATACTTCTTGGGGGGCAGATAGGCGCACTCTCCTTGCTTTACATTCCTCTCTCGTCCTGTCTAAGCTCGATTATGGTTGCCCTGCTTACTCGTCTGCTTCTCCTTCTACTCTTCGCCGTCTTGATGCTTTGCACCATACTGGGTTGCGCCTCAGTTCTGGTGCCTTTCGTTCGACTCCCATCCTTAGCTTGTATGTTGACACTGGCTTCCTGTCTCTCCAGGACCGCCGTGATCGCTACTGTCTTCGCTATCTTGCGCGGTCCTTGCAACATCCTTCCTCTCGCCTCTGTCGTGCTTTAACTTTTACCCCTCCTGCGGTTCCTGTTCCTCTTCACCACCTCCCTCTTTCTGTCCGGTTATCTCGCCTACAGGATTCTCTCTCCGTTCGTATTTCTGATGTTTCTCCTCGTGTTGTTCCTTCTTTGCCCCCGTGGAGGGTCCCTCTTCCGCGGTTTTGTACATCCTTGACCCGTATCACTAAAGCTTTTACCCCTCCTACGGTTCTAAAACGCCTTTTCCTCGAGCACTTTTCTTCTCACTCCCGCTCCGTTTCTGTCTTCACCGATGGGTCTAAGTCAGCGGACGGTGTTGGCTACTCTGTTGTTTTTCCTGATCGCACTTATATGTGTCGCTTGCCTCCGGAGACTAGCATCTTTACAGCGGAACTTTATGCTATTCTCTATGCTCTTCGTCTCCTGCTTTCTCGTTGTCAGTCTTCCTTTGTGGTTGTTGTTGACTCTCGTAGTGCCCTCATGGCTCTCGGGTCCTTTAATCCGGTTCATCCAGTAGTTGTCGAGATCCAGCATTGGCTGTTTCTCGTTCACAGTAAATTTAAGTCGGTTGAGTTTTGTTGGGTTCCCAGCCATATTGGTGTGTCTTTAAATGAGCGTGCGGATGCTGCCGCCAAGGAAGCTGTCCGCTCTTGTCCCATCTCTCGTAAAGGCATTCCGTATTCCGACTTTTACCCGGTTATCCATTCCTCAGTCCTTACCCGTTGGCAGGCTTCTTGGTTGTCTGTTACTGGTAACAAGCTACGTACTCTTAAATGTTGTGTTTCCTCGTGGCCGTCCTCCTTCCACCGTAACCGGCGGTGGGAAACAGCTCTGGCGAGGTTGCGTATTGGCCATACTCGCTTAACCCATGGTCACTTGATGGAGCGCCGCCCTGCTCCTTATTGTCCTAGTTGCATTGTCCCTTTTACGGTCGTGCATGTCCTTCTTGAATGTCCTGACTTCCAGGACGAGCGTGTGTCTTGCTTTCCGACCGCCCCTCGCGGTCACCTGTCCCTCGATAGAATTCTTGGTGACTCGGATACTTTTGATATCGTTCGCCTTATGCGTTTTTGTTCTCGTATTGGCATCCTTGGTGATATTTAGCGCCCTCTGATTATTTTGCGTATTTGATGGTGCTACATAGCCTTCCCGGTTTGGTGCCTTCTTTTGATAATTACTTACTTACTTTGGAGACATTGTGTGCTTCCCCAAATTGAGTGTGCTGCCATTTTTGTCTGTGGTTTTTCTGGGGAAAGCCCAATGTGGCTTCCTAAAGCTATAGGCTGAGATGGTTACCATCTACTGTATCACATTACCTGTAGATTTCTAGAGGCCTACCAGGGACTGAAGCCAGAATCTGCCCCCTCACCAAGGTGCAGGAAGCGGTGACATTTTTGCCACTTCACTGTGAAAGACAACCACAGAGTCGTGAGTCAAAACAAACTACTGCTGGATTCAAAAGAGACAGAAGCCTTGAAACCAGCCAAAAGAACTCCCCGATGATATAAACAAATGGCCAAATTCTCTTGGAATTTGTCATGCGGTGTACTGGTGGCCACTATGCTCTTTGGGCACCATACCAGCTTAGATGTACAGTTATGGTGAATAAAACATGTAGATACTTATATATAACATCTGTATATAGTGAAGAAAAGCAAAAACAGTATGGTGGGAGGAGTGGTGTTGGTGAGTGAGGTGTTGAGGGAGGGAAGGAGGTGGCATAGGCTGGCTGGTGTGTGGTGGCCACTGGTTGCTGTTTTGACTTACCATACCAACTTGGTATGGTGGTTCGTTTGTTTGGGGCGCCTACCTTTCTGGATGCCTGACCCGGTCGATGGCAGACATAGAATACTTCATACCACATGGAGGTGTCTATAGGCTATTGCTCTTCGTGCCTTTCTGAGGGGGCCAGGTTCTGGCTCGTGGTCCTCGGTATGCCTAGAACTCCATTCGCTTGACTGATGCCAGGGTCTAATACACTCATATCAGCCCGGATAGCTCTGGGAAGTCTCCGGGTCTCATCCAGAAAATGGCGTTTAATTACATTCAACGCTGGTTTTTTGGAAGGGAATCACTGTAGCTTCCCAAACTACACTGCAGATACCAAACTTAGGGAATTGCACTAGGCCTCTGAGACCCACTCAAGCCTACCATGAGTCAGCATTAAAATCTGGTTCTTTCTTCAAGGTGAGGGGATCTCGAGAGTTAGAGATCAGCTTAAAAACTAGGGAAAAGCCTCCAGAAATAGTAAGCTCCTCTAAAGAATTGTTTGAAGGAATTTAGTAACCCAGAGGAAGTCAAGGCAAAAAATTCTTATTCATTACATTTAATGAATTGTTTTCATGTTGCATTTTAAACATGTAATCATTAATCTTTGGGTGGCTTCAAAATAAGGTGCATGAATATGGCAAATTGTTTGGTTCCAGGTATAACATGAGTACATATGAGGACAACACTACATGCAAGAACTTTATCTCTGTTGAAGTAAGTAACACAACTGGACTCTACATCTGGAAACCAGGTATGGGAAAGTGGCAAGTCTGCTACTTTATGCTTCTCAAAGTGTTTCTTCCTCGCACTGCACCACCTTCATAGTGTGTTAATCTTCACCAAGGCTAAATGCCAAGGCTGTAGTATCTCCCACATGCTTCACAAGGCTATATACCATGCCTGGCCTCAAGCCAGGCTTGGGGAGTAGAACTCCTAGAACCCCATCAAGCAGGTAAGGCTAGTCTCTCCTACATGCTTCACCATGGCTGTAGTCTCTCCCACATGCTTCACCATGGCTGTAGTCTCTCCCACATGCTTCACCATGGCTGTAGTCTCTCCCACATGCTTCACCATGGCTGTAGTCTCTCCCACATGCTTCACCATGGCTGTAGTCTCTCCCACATGCTTCACCATGGCTGTAGTCTCTCCCACATGCTTCACCATGGCTGTAGTCTCTCCCACATGCTTCACCATGGCTGTAGTCTCTCCCACATGCTTCACCATGGCTGTAGTCTCTCCCACATGCTTCACCATGGCTGTAGTCTCTCCCACATGCTTCACCATGGCTGTAGTCTCTCCCACATGCTTCACCATGGCTGTAGTCTCTCCCACATGCTTCACCATGGCTGTAGTCTCTCCCACATGCTTCACCATGGCTGTAGTCTCTCCCACATGCTTCACCATGGCTGTAGTCTCTCCCACATGCTTCACCATGGCTGTAGTCTCTCCCACATGCTTCACCATGGCTGTAGTCTCTCCCACATGCTTCACCATGGCTGTAGTCTCTCCCACATGCTTCACCATGGCTGTAGTCTCTCCCACATGCTTCACCATGGCTGTAGTCTCTCCCACATGCTTCACCATGGCTGTAGTCTCTCCCACATGCTTCACCATGGCTGTAGTCTCTCCCACATGCTTCACCATGGCTGTAGTCTCTCCCACATGCTTCACCATGGCTGTAGTCTCTCCCACATGCTTCACCATGGCTGTAGTCTCTCCCACATGCTTCACCATGGTTGTAGTCTCTCCCACATGCTTCACCATGGCTGTAGTCTCTCCCACATGCTTCACCAAGGCTATAGTGAATCAGGCAGGAAGGAGCTTCATTCATCAAGAGCTATTAGTGACCAAGCATTCAAAGTAAGTAGAAATTAGACACTTTGGATAGTGAATGCTGAAACTGCATAAAATTAAGAAAGTTCAGATTTTCTTATCACACTTCCAAAAGAAGGTTTTCTTTTGCTCTTTTAGGTAGAATTAAAGTATTTTCACATGCTGCTGGATGCCTGTTTTGCTGTTATTATTAGGTTAATCTTAAATTATTGGATTCCAGGACTGGGATTTGTCCTTTGCTTTCCTAGTGTTATTTTTTTATTGTAGCCAGACTGCCAAGCTCCCTTAATTCTTTGTTTTCTTCGTAATAACTTTCTTTGTTTTATATCTACTGTACTGTATTATTATTTTATGTTAGTGTTTTCCTCCAGGAAGGCTATTGTGGTATCTTGGTTGTTAAAATGTGGGTCTGAGGACCTATGTAACAGGTGTAGGTAGCAACTGTTCAGTACACGGAAACCATTTTTAAGACTAAAAACGTACGTAGCACATTACTGTACTGTAATTACTTAATTGTATTGTTTAATAATATACAGATGCAAGTGGAGGATGTAAGGAGTCTCTGGATGAAGTAGTCAGCTTCAAGGTGGATATGATATCTTCCTGTACTTATTTCTGGAGGAATATCAACAGTTGCAGTGACCTCCGGTGAGGGCAGTAAAACTTGGTACAGGTATTTCAAATGGAAATTAATAAAATTCATGCAAGTGTTAAGTGATTAAAGGAAAATTACAGACACAAACGTTATTTTAGAGGCACACATATTTTAGTTTGTTAGGTTTCGTTTTTTTTCTCTCTTACAACTTCCTTAGCCAGAACCTTAACGAAGTAGGTTCTGGCTCGGGGACCATTTCAACGTTACCAATCGTATCTTCCATAGTAATGAATCTGACTCTTTGGTTGTCATGTCTATATCTGGGATCAGTAACATCATGTAGCATCAATAACTCCGATGCTACAACCTGGAAACTTAAAAAGTCTTGATAAAAATATGTGGTGCAAATAAGATTGCAGTTTCTGAATGTGTGTACAGTAATTTCATAAGCTCATGTGTATGCACATAAACTTGGTTTTTAAATACAAATCTGTGTATGCATTAATAAGTCATTATTTTTCTTTATTTTCAGTGAAACAATTAAGGATGAATTTTACTCACTGATCAAATTGGATGTTATCAGTAAGCTTGGGTGGCCAAACCCTACCATAGAAAGTGACTTTCTTCCTATAATATTGTAAGTTGATTTCTAGATATTTGTGTAAGATAAAGCTTTCAAGAATAGAAGAAATAAGGCATCTTAATGATATCATAATGTTTTTATAATGTATTGGTTTATCAGAGCCCATAATCTTCTGGTGGGGACACTGGAGTGGTTCGCCAAGCTTAACTCCGGTGCCATCAAGCCTTAGTCCACCACACCAGAGTCCCCTGAGACCTGTCTGTAGCTTACCTGCAGCCAGGATCATTATGTGGCTCACTTGGAAAGGTGAAGGGAGCAGGTAATCAGAGATTAACCACAAAACTGGGGATAATTCACTAGAAAGCATAGGCCCAACAAAACAAGCAACTACATGAAGCAACCACATAAGCATCCTAGTTATAGAAGGAAAATGACCATTGCTGGCAGAGTAACTATGCTGATGTGCCGCTGCCAAATGGCAGCTTGTATTACCTAAGGTCTCAGCCAGCCTTCCTTTTGCTTTTCTGCCTGGTGCTGCCCATCCTACACGTGTAGTCTCTGCAGGGCCAGCCTGGAATTCTCATGTTCAGCTTAGTGGTGTTGGCTTTCCCTGAAACATTGTTGTACTAGGGCCATTTATTTTTCTGGGAGGATCCTCTTGTAGCTAGGTGCTCCCCACTACTGGGTCACATCACTGGCAGCAGTCCTGTTTGGCCTACTGGAGACCAGAACCACAAACCTGGCTCCTGTTTGGCCTACTGGAGACCGGAGCCACAAACCTGGCTCCTTTACAGAGAAGCAGGGAGCAGAGGACAGTTATTATTACCATCACCGGGAAAGCATCCAGAAAGTCAGCTAAGCTTCGTAAACAACTGCTGGGTTCATAAGACATAAACCATCGAAACAGCCAAAAACTGTGCAAATGATTCATTCACAACAATTGGTTCACTTGAGACTAGCTTGAACCCACTACTACTGTCGACTGCCACCAGGTGGCCCAGAGCCTCTTGCTGACACTGGCTTGCATGTTAATGTTGACAAACCAACTAGTATGTTCCTCGGGTCCAACTGTGACACCGGGCCCCATTGTTTCTTAACTAACTGCTGGCCATTCTTCAGACTTTGTCCTGGGGGGCCCACTTGCTTGTGTATGGTTCTTTTCTTTTCATATTTGCTTCATGTGCAAGTGTTTACCTCTTGTCAATCTTGCTTGGACCTGATAATTTTTACACTTTGACCAGCATGTGCTCAGGGTGACTTTCCTGGGTGTTGTCAGTGCATTGTCAAGAGGTAATTACTTCTCTGGTGTGTTCGGAAGTTTGCCTGAGAGACCTGACCACCATGGGTGGGGAACCTCTCCTTGGGCGGTGCGTGACTCCTTTATATAGACCCCTCGGTTGGAGGCATCCTATTTGGTTGTGTGGACTGTGCTAGGGTATATATACTCTTGTTTATACAGCATGCGTTGGACACCATAGCCGGGTTACTTGAGGTTCCGTTCAGTGTCTGCTCTTTCAGTGAGCATCTCCAGTGTCCTGTTTGGCTAGTCACCTTCCGGTCCTGGTAATTTCCCTGTTGGTCTGCAATGTGTCTTGTTATGGATCAACCCATCGAGTGTTCACTCACTACATTGCAATTTGAGGGGTGCTTATGCATTTATGCATGCACTGGGTCTGCATTCTATCTGAGCCTGCTTCTCATTAGGAAGCTTGCCAGGCAGCGAAGCTTTCCTGTATTTAGGGTTTGTGGTATGTTATTTGTTTGATGCCTTGGAGTTAGCCCTGTGGCATTTAGGTTCCCGAAGTTGGAAGTGTTACTGAACTCTGGCTGGGCTAAGTCCGTACCTCCTCTTCCTTTCCCTACGGGAGTGGTTCACCTTGCATCTGGTCTTCTTTCCTCCTCCCTTCCTGCCCCTTGCTCTGGTACTGAAATATCAGAGGGTTTCAGAGTCAGGGCAGGGTTTAGCATAGTGTAGCTCGTCCATCTCCCGAGGTGGTCTGTTTGGGTCTCGGTTGTATTTTTCTTACCACATACGGTCTGTTTTGTTATGCCTACCTTTCTGGGTGCCTAACCCCAGTCGATGGCAGATAAGGTTAACCCCCAACCACAAGGAGGGTTTTCTAGGGCCATTGCTCCCTTCGCATCTCTGAGGGGGCTATGTTCTGGCTAGTGGTCCCTGGTAGGCAGAACTCCAGTAACTATTGCCCTGGTCTAAAGATTGCATATTAGCCCAATAGCTCTGGGGCTCTCCCAGAAAATGGAGTTTCATTACATTCAACACTGTTTGTTTTAAACTTTGTTAAATGTTTCAGGGACACCCATGGAAACAGGATTGAGTCAAACAGTCCTGATTGCCAAGTTCCATTTTCTCTAGAGTACAAAATTCTATATCAAGATACTACTGATGTTACCAAAACTACTCTGTCTGTCTACCAAATCATAGGGACTTACATCAGGTGAGATTTAAATTTTATATGGTTTATAATGTTTTGTGGTTATGAGGACAAAATATTTGGTACAGTGCTACAATGCAGCAAATTTACCATGGCAGTTCTTTATTTATAAGTATGGCAAATTTGTATTTGTACAAATTGTACTGTACTGTACTCTATATACATCATAGGTTGTCAAAAACCAGCAGGTGAACATTAAGAGTTAATATATTATATTTTATTTTTGGATAATGTATAGATACTTTTTGATAATGTTTTATTCATAAAAATTGCTAACCACCATATCATGGATAGTAACATTTCATTCACTTGAACATCGATGCTTCGAACCGTAGACTACAAAAGCAGCAGCCCC